CCACCATATGATATCTGCTCATTGGGAGGTGTCAAATATAATCGGGAGACATCGAGGCAATAGCTCCCTCACAGGATTACTCGTCCCGACCTCCAGGTCCGACGAAAAATCCCCGCGGCGAGCGTATTCCCAAAGTTTTCGACTTCTCGCGGAATTAGTCGACGCGATCTGAAACTCCGTGATATCCGGGAACACTGAGAATCTTTTTACGCGCATGCAGCCCATTCCAAGAGAGATGCCGAAATTCAGATGCTCCGCGGGGATGGAAGTTGTCAGTCTGGGCTCTCGTCGTACGCTCGTTTTTCCAATGATCCTTAGGGCCGAATAATTTTGCAGAGGCTATCGCTTTGAAGTTTGATGCGATAGATATTACGTATCCTTCATTCAAGGCGAGGTCTCCTCGCAGTGATAAACCGATCATAATCGAGAACGCTGCTCGCGCCGCCGGGAATAAACGTCCGTATGAGGGATCTCGCGTCTTCAATACGGGCGCTGGATGAGAACTTCCGCATTATCGGAGATCCGCTCTTCGGAGGGCTCGCTTTAAGCGGACGTCTTACGCCTGAGTTACGGTCGGCAATTCAAGGCATGTCAATAGAACTTGAATGCAACCATTTCGGGGGAGAGGATTCTCTATACGGGAGAAGCTGAGTTGTTAAACGTTCGAAACCCGGGTCGCGGTTCGGGCGCATGTTCCCATGACGTAAGGACTCCGTAGTGACACTGGTGTCGAGGATGTTTGGCGAATCCGTGAGCTTGCCATGGATAAAAACGCGAAATTGCTCAGGCCGCTCATCGATCCTGGACCCACTGCTCGGGGTGACACCAACGGCCGCACGACAGGTCGAGATCCATGATTCGTGTATGTATCTGCCCTAGCCACAGCCGCTCGTGTCTTCTGCGCAACTTGACCAAACGCGATCGGGTAGCTCTCACGGACTCGCTCCCAAGTTGGAGGTTCCAAATAGCTTTCGACAAGTGAGTTCGACGGCACTCAGCATGATTGGAAGAGAGGTTCCAATAATTAGCTAAGTTTCGCATGCCGCAATCAGAAATGAGATTCCGTATAGGGCTCCAGAGCGAAAATAAATTACATCTCCCAGGCTCGACACGATGGGAAGTCATGGGTACCATCTCCGAGGGCCTAGCAAGGTAGCCGCGACTATGTCCGCGTGATCCAAAGCTGCTGCCGAAGAGCTAAGGATGATTTGCCCGCACTGACTTCGAACTCCTCTCAACCAGTCGGTCGAGCCGAGCAGCGAGCTTTTCGAATGAGGGAAGAAACGGGACCAACCAACGGTGAAACACTCCGGGCAGGCTCTTCCGTCGTTTCTAGAGATATCGCCGATATTCGGCTCGTCCGAGGGCGCACGTCCGCTTTCCGGCGGTTGCGGGGGGCGAGAGGTTCAGGACATCCTCATGCTAGAGACGGTGTAGCGCCTATAATATATTCGAAGTACTGCGATACCACATAGGAGTTCGTACCGCCCAGGGAACTTTCTTGAAAGGTGAGAGAATTTATTCGTGCCTTGTATTTGACAAATCTATGAGCCAGATTCGGATCGCTGGAGAGGGGGCGGATTTTGGATTTTCTCCCGGGTGGGAGGGGGTGTGGGCAAACGACGGGAACCGAGTCCTATGACGGGGTCCATGCCCCCCCCCCTCCCGTTCCAGCTGTATACGGATTTTCAGTAGAACGAACGTTTATCCCCCACTTGGCTGACTGCCACAGAGATGATGATGGAAAACATTCGTCACATAGAATTATTCACAACCCATGACCACGGACATATTTCTTGGGTCCCATGTGGTTCGTTCTTACGAGATTCCTCTGTATATCGAAGAGGTGCGCAATTTCATCACAAACACATAATCTGGATACAAGTACCTAGGTATTTCTGATATTTCAGATACGAGCACTGCGATTGCGCAAAAATCTTGAACGAACGCTTGTTAGCAGAGTAAGTATATCGAGCTCCTGGAGCCTCTCAAAGCTCCTAAGGACGCGCTAGGAGAGCGATAGTCACGAGGAGCAGCGGGGAGCCAAGTTCGCTATCCGGAGAAAAGTTTTTCTTCGGAAAATTACTCGAGTGAACATTGCTACAGGATGTCGAGAGGCTTATATTCATGCAGAAGACCCGGTAAGGTGTACTGGGCGTGGTGGATCCCCCTCGAAGCGATTCGCCGTCACCGCGGCTCTCCTGCTTGATGAGCGTGATGTTGATGACAAGAGCTTCTGCCATCGTCTTCCCTGAAGTCTCCCTCGCCTTAACCCCCGCCCATCCATGTTCTGTTCCTCCTCCCTCATTTTCTTCACCCGACTGCAAGATTTGTTCTTTCGTTCAATGCTCCCGGCCACCTGCATTGGGAAGCCAGGCAGTCGGGCGGGCAGTGAGGGACGGAGCAGCCAGCTGCCCTCTTCAATGACCACCTAAGCTTGAAAACCCAAAAAACCAAAGAAACGAACGAAAAGGGGAAACATTGTCGAGAAGCCGGCCCCGCACGATCCAAGTAGGCAATTTACATCGAGCTGAACCCTGGTGAGAAATCACATGCCCTCGTCGGGCCAAGCTTCAGAGAGTCTCAGAAGAAGCGCAGAAACTACGAAAATGAAAGGGAACGACGGAAGTTCAGAGGGGGGACCTCCGGCCATTTCCCGCAAGGCTCGTTCCGCTCGCTCGCTATCCCTCGCCCGATTAGAAGCTCGCTCGCTATCCCTCGCCCGATTAGAAGCTCGCTCGGTACATTTGTGACCGGGCGGGGTCGGAACGAGAATCGTGAACGGAATGGATTCCGAGCGGAGAGCCTGACGGAGATCAAGTCTGAGAGCACGTTTTGGTTTTCTACAGCTCTGAGACAGTCGCGCCGGCGGAAACACGAGCGCGCTTGTCAACGTTGACGTCAACAATGGATTCGCAACGCGTTTTTAATCAATTCGGTTTGTTTGAATTCGGCAGCCTCGACATGGCGACGTCGATGCTGACTCTGGAGAACCCTCCTGAATGGAGCAAGCAGAACTGTCCTTTTTGCGTCGGTCGCCGGCGGATGTTGGAGCGGGGCCACGAACAAACACGAGTCTTTGTTACCTCACGCACGCCCCGAGGCCACTGACTCGAACAAGTTGTTCAACTTCGAACGCGAGCAAACAAGACCTTTCTGAAGCTTCAGGATTCCAAGCGTGTGAGCGGCCGAGAGACCGACCTACGGATTCGCTGGACGGCATTGTGAGTGAGCTTGCGAGTATTACAGCGTACGGACAGTGTCAATGTTTCAACCGGTTGAGCCTGCCATCAAAGAGCGAAGTTCTCCTCCGGGCCGACCTATTTCGGGGCTCTTGAATTATCGACGGGACGTCTCCTTGCGGAGTTTCTAGCTGCACTGAAGACTGTTATGAGTAGATGAGAGAGTGTCAGGAGAAACGAACGGAGATTGATGCAAGGTGGCTTTCTCCCGACAACCGAGCTGAGGATAGTTTCTATCAAAGCGTCCGGGCAATCCTGCGGAGCTTGAGAGATTCTCGGCTAGTCGACTGAGGATTCATATACACCGACCAGGCCGCGAGCTTTTCCGCTTCCTGACGATGAGACTTTCCTACTCCGTGGAGGAGAAAATACGCTACGATCGATTCCAGGTCGCGGTTGATTATCGATGGCAACTGCAGCGATAATACAAGTCGGATAAGAATAGTAATCCATATATACTGTCATGTTCATACAAGCTGGCGCGGCGGTCCCACACAGATGGGAAACGTCGGAACTCAACAATCGAACGAATCTCAATTTTTTTTCCGACAGATGGCATGGAGATACATGCCGCCGATCAGTATGATAATGAGTAATGAGAAAGGAAGGATTCGAGGCCGGCCAGCTCAATTGCGCGGGGAGCCACTGAGAAAGCTCTTCTGCATCCTTAAAATATAATCAAAACCCTACCGTTCGGAATCCTGACCTCTCACGCGGTGCGGTGAGGCGCTCACGACCAGCGCGCACTCGCAAGAGTCTGCTTGGTGAAAGAAACGTGCAGCTGTCCTTGTGGAAGACGTGAGAAATATGGAATTCCGCGTTCCCGAACGATGGAGGAGAACTCCGTGGCTGCGCGGCGTCGTTATGAGCGAAGCGTCGTTATCAATTCCCGACCGGAGCTCCTCTGCTCGAAACGATGACCCTTGATTCTCCGAGAATCTTCTGCCTTGTCTCCTCGATTCCGATGGTTTTTTACCTCCAGTTGCCGGAGAAAACTCCGGAATTCCATCAACGAGGCAAACGAAAAAATTCTCAGCTAGGTAGCCTCAGCCTCTTGTGAATTGAGGTGGCGAACCAGCAGTCTCTGGCCTTTTGCGGGCGTGGGCGATTGACGGCAAAGCCAGGCGATTCTCTCTCTCTCTTGTAAAGTGGTAATTTTTCATCACAAAGGGACTCAACGAATGTTCCATCTCGCTTCTAAAGCGAGGCCGGAGTTGAAATACCTGTGCTAGCACGGGGTTTTCTTTGTTCTTTCCATCCTATCCTGATATCTGGGTCAGTCATCAGCGAATGTCATGAAGTTAAAACCTCATGAATTCATATTCGGGATCTGCGTCGAGTAGGTCGTCGAAGTCTCGGCAGAGGAGGACGGGCTCATGGCCCTGAGTCATGCGAAACTGACACCGTTCCTCAGGACCGAATTCCGAGTGTGAGAACATTCGACGACGGTATTCCGACCTTAAGTCTCGTCCGCCTCGCGATGTCAGGGCTCGCCTGGGGCGAGCTGCCTGACCCCGTCCGATGCTAGGGCTCGTGAACTGAGCCCTCCTGACCATGAGTATCAATCCTCGAACAGTTTGCCCCGTGGGTTCCGAGATGAACTACTGCGATTTCGGCTTCCGAATTTTATTTACAATCTCACAGAGCTCGGGATCCCGGTCTCAGGCGATTTTCATTTTTCATCAGGCACTTCGTAGTCAATCAAGAACAGATCGATGTCAGTATGTTAATGTTGTACAAATTATCTACAGGGGATACTCATTCCGGGATGGGATAAACCTCGACCGAAGGAGGCGCAATCGTTGCTGCCTCAACAGGAGTCCATTTTGCCGACTGCTCGGGCTTCTTCCTTTTTGCGGCTCGTGAGTCCGCCACCAGAGGGTATTTCGAGCACCAGGTCCGCACCAGAGACAACGGTTCGAACTGCTCGGCGGAACCGCCGTTTATGTGCAGGAATAATGCGGCAGACAGTTTCCCTATGGCGTCTGGCGACTTCACGGGGGTGAGCTTGTTGATCTTCGCCACGGTCGAAGATACGAGCGAGGTAGACTGCGGGAAAACGTTCGCGAAGGTCTGAAGGAGCGCCATGTTGGCAGGAGCCGCTTTGCGCCCGTTCTCGATATAGGCTCTGAACGCGCTTCGGACTCCGGTTTCGTCCGCGATGTCGAAAACTGTGCAGAGTCGTCGAACGGCATCGTCCGCGTAATTCTCGGGCGGGTTCGGAGGCCAGTTGAAAACATTGACCGTGAAGAGGTCGCTTATGAAGTTCTCCACGATGTCCTCGCCAAGCCCAGACACCGAAATCATGTTCTGCTTGGAAAGCGCCACGATCTGTTCCATGAACGCGTTGCGGTCCGGCATGCAGAGCTCAGAGCTGTTCGTGAGAGCGACTCCCATGAATGAGCGGGAGCTCAACTCGTTCAGAACCTCGACTTCGAATGCGCCGGCGCAGCTCGCCAACTGAGCGAGATCCTCCATTGCTTTGACGAGGATGCAGTCGGCATGCGCGATATCGCAGTCGTTGTCTATGTCGGTCCTGACCGTCGAGAGTAACTTGAGCACGTCATGCACCATTCCGATCTCCCTCACGAGTTGCTCGCTCTCCATTAGAGTTTTCGCGTAGGAATACTTCTCTTTCTCTTCCGTAGTGCGCGTAATGTCGTTACCGGCTTGAACGAGATACTCGAAAAGTATCGAGTAGGCGTCGGTGAGGGCTTGGATCGCTCTGTAGGACGACGCGACCTCTCGAGCCGGAACCACGGGACCGATCCGGGACAGCTGCTCATAAACTTCGGGTGTGTTGATGAGGAGTTCTTGGCCGTTCCTCTCACTCAGTTGGGTCAGCGAATGAAGAATCTCGTAAAGTTGACAAACGTAGCTGTCCGAGTTGTTGTTTCGGAGCGCTGTCATCACCATGAGCTCCAGACGGTAAGCGAGGACGTACCAGATGACAATCTTTTCGAATGAAACCGCCAGTTGATGACACAGACTCGTCTCCGCCCCCAAGTGCGTGCCCAACGGATCCGTCACGAAACACATCAGATGGTTGTTGAGGAACTCGTGGGAGAAGCCGCCGTCGAGAAGCGATTGGGTGATCGCGCTCAAGGGACTCGTCTCGGTCATTTGATTTTCGGAATACGATATAGCATCCCAGAACAGGTTCCTGAGGCCGTCGTTCGTCTTCGCACGGATGTAGATCAGGAAAACGGTCTCAGCTGTTGTCAACCAGCCTTGGACATGATCGACGATTATCGAGAATCGGAATCCCTGCGCGGTGATCTCTTTGACGAACGTCGATCGCAAGTCCTCCGCTATGTGCTGAACGACTTTGATCGGATCGAAGTCTTGAACGAAAGCGAAATCTCGATAGATTTTCTCTCTCAGGACAGCGTTGAAACGACTTGGGTACACGTCGAAGTTTATGTCGAGCTTAGCGAGCTCGTAGACGTGACGGAAAATCTGTGACGTCATGTGGACGTTCTTGTTCAATGTGTTGGTCATCAGGGATCTAGTTGGGGGCGAGTCTTTGTAGTTCTTGATCAGAGCTTCCGACCGAAGGTGCGTTCTAGAAACTTCATGGCGCTGAATCTTGTTTCGTAGAGATTTCAGTCTTTGTTCCCGGCTCTCACCGCTACAAGTTATAAGGTAATTTATCCATTCCGTGGATAATCCGATGTTGTCCCCGACGGGGTAGCCCATGTACTTGACGCGGAAACAATACCTGAAGCGAAAAGTAAATGTTGGTGTCATATTCGAAAATGATTCATGGAGGAAACTTGTCGAGCAGATAGAGCAATATCGACGTCGGACACATTGCCCCGAAATTATTCAAAAATTTCGTTACTAATTGATCGCAGGATCTAGTACGGCATTTGCCCGGTTTGAGCTGAAAGCTTGAAAATGATCTTTTGTCCCCGCTTGGTTCCCAGGTCTGCGCCCCGATCTGATGCCCCGGGTCGGATCATACCTCCGAAACTATTGGTCGCAAAGCATCAATTTCAAAAACTGGAGGCAATAATTGATTTTCCCGAGGGAATTAACACCAAACCTGCGAATCTTCCTCGAATCGGAAGACGAGTTCTCTTTGGCTTTCGGTAGAGGTTAACCGCCGATCAATAGCTTCCCTTGAGCAGGCGGGACAACGGAGGCGCATCGCTAGGCTTTCTCTTTCGTTTGGTCTTCCCACAGGAAGAGCACGGAAGGACGTACCGGCATCCTAGTTTCCGTTTCTTAGATGACAACCAATGGTGCTTCGCCCGCCGATCCATCCACATGTCCTGCGTCCACACTTCAGGCCAAGTGCCGTCCCCTTCTTCGACCCATTCGTCGTCGATTATCGACATACCGACTTCGGCAACTTGTTCCGAGAGACCTTCGGCGGCAACGGCTGCAAATTGCGAAATGCTCGAAAACGAATAAATGAAAATGTACTGCGGAGATTCGTACTCATGTCATCCGGGATTCTTTCATCCCAGGAGCATGGGGAACTCATTCGTTTCGGCTCACCTCCCTGCGGTGAACTTTCCGCCGAATCTTCAGCTTCGGGCGGCTGTTCGGCGGCAGAATCCACGACGCCCGAGTTGTTAATCAAGAGACTGCCCCCGATGAGCATATCATCCGTGGAGCCGAGATCCAAGTCGAGCGAGACCAGAGCTTCGTCGGGAGTTTCGGTTTCCGAGCTCAACTTCGATTTCCTCAGAGGTTCGTGGATGCTGGATTCACACCTTCGTTTCATGTTGATGGAATGTTTTCGGGATCAATTCATCGATTTATGCCGAAGACTGTGTTCCGGAGTGTGGAATGCCGACGAGCCCGCGGGGGCATCAGTGTAGGGGCTCACAGTTTCACTCAAAAACCTCCCGTGTGTCAAAGAATGGAACAATGGCCCACGCAAGCGCAAGCACAAACGAACGAATCACAATCAATCCTTGACCAGCGACGAAGAGCAGAACGAAAATGAAATTTGTTGATAGTAGTGGGAGAGTGAAGACGATGGCGTTGATGATCTTTGCTGACGAGTCGAACGATTTTCAAACGGTCACTCCAGCCTACCCGAACGCGAATAGGTGGGCCTGATTGAGGCTCAATGTAGGCGTTCGAAGATCGCGAAATTCCCCCGGACCGAGAGCGGTCGCGTAAGGTTCTTTGGGATCGTGCCGTGCGACGTGCTTTCTCGTCCCCGAAAGGCTCTTGTGGCGCCTTAAGCCCGCGAACCGCTATCTCAAGCGCGAAATCGCGTCGAATCGCTCCGAATATCGCTCCGAATCGCTTAGAACCCCGCATTCTCACATGCGCCCTCAACAAGGAAAGATATCAATTCATTTATGGTTCCGCAGTATGCTTGGAGGTTCCTCCGAATTCGGTTGAGGCCGGCAGATGGCGAGCTCCAGGATAGAATCTCTGGAATCAGCGCATTTCGAAGAACCACGGATTCATTGTCTTTTCGCCCGCTGCATAATTCCAGCCTCTCGGCCCAAGAAGAAGGACACGTCCATTCTGAGCTCCGACAGTTGATCGGGGCGGGAATTCTTCTCTCGACTCGGAGGGAGGACTGCAGCTCGCGATGATTTCGGTCACAAGAACGGAGCTCGCTCCCGCCTATAATCGTAGTCATCGACGCGATTGCGCGCTTCGACCATGCTCAGAATTCAGTAGTCCCCGAAAATAGATATCTCCTGCTCAAAGGTTCTTCCGCACTCTCCAGGCTCCCGGAATCGATCGCTTTCCACGAGCTCCCGACTTCTATTCTCAGCGCAGCGAGGAAACAGACATCTCGCTTTGAGAGCTCATCCATCAATCCAAGCGAATGCGCGAGCGTCACGGACGCCCACGATCCAGGAACATGAGGATTCTCTGGAATGCGACCATGTATTCGCGGAGATACCTCATCGCATGGCGACCAGATAGCGCACATTTTACATACCCGATGGAAAGTCGGTCGCTCAGCGATTCTCAAGTTCGGGACACGATGTAGTTTTGTTCCGATTTTCTCAGCCTTAGGGCCCCACTTGCACAAACGTTAAATTGTCGGCTTCCAATTCGTGGAAGTCAATGACTAGCGAGCTCCCCTTCCAGGCATCTCCGTTATTATAATTGGGAGGAGAATTCCCACATCCCGGATCGAGAGGGAAAAAACTCATTGAAGACAATCGACTTAGAGAATCGCACTCGGAATGTCGAGCACCCCACAGGCAGAAAGAATGCATTCTCCGACTGAGCTGCGGACGAATTGGAGAAAACTACATAATCGTGTGGAAAGCTCGTCAAGAATGCTGAATCGAGCCAAGCTCTCTCATCGATGAAGACGTCGGTATTCCCCCATCCGCAGGTTGCCAATGAAATTAAGCGACTCCAAGATAATGTGAAAGAAGACTTGCTCTTCTAGAGAAGTTTAATGATTAATATTTACATGTTTTTTGGAAATTGAACAGAAAATACAGAGATTTCCCTAAAGCCCCGTGACGATGAGCTCGTCGACTCCCCAGACTTCGAAAGAACCATCCGGGAGATACCGTCGGATTTTGATGGGTATTTTCCGAACCTTGAGTTCTTTCTTGGCTATTTCCAGAGGATCGGTTTCACCTTCCAACTCCACCATGACTGGCGCTCCCATCGCTATTTGTAACGCGCGGGTTCCCAGAACACGAGCGCGTTCGTACTTCGTCATGTACTGGGTCGTGATCCGTTTCGTGTTTTGTTGCGGTTCCTGGGCGTCCCCCTCGTTGCCTCCTCCGGCAGTATCGAAGTCATCCATGTTCTCATCGCCACCTGGAATAATTCCGACAATCTTAGAGATGCTACGAGAGATGAGGAAACGACAGGTGATGAATTTCCTCCGGCGTGGAAACCAGCGAAGAAGTCGGCGTTGCGACGTTGCCTACCCATGTCATCGTCGCCCATGTCCTCTCCGAGATCCTCGGGCTCATATTCATCGTCGGCCATGGTGAAAACACGGAAGAGCAGGAACTAGCGTTGTCGGTGCTCCGGACTGAAGTCTGCACGACGAGACTTTTACCACAATGTAGAATGGAAGTGCGTCCGTCTTCGTTAGGGAGAGAGGACGGCGGAAGGGTCGTAGTGAGGAGCGCGGCTGTAAACATAAACAGCGGGTGACCGGGAGGCCTTCAGGGTTTTCTTCCGAGAAGTCCACTCCCCATTAGGCTTTGGAAAGCAGCCGATGCCTGCCGGCTGGCACTTCTCCTCTCCGAAAGAGGCGGCCATTTTGGCAAATGGCGCTGAAGGCAGCTCCTCGCACTGCGCTTAGCTCGTCAGCTTGGCGCTGCGGTCAGTCCGGCGCGGCTTTAAGACTCCGAGAACCGTCGAGATGAGGAGCCCGGAAATTTTCGGATTTCTTTCCACAGTCCACAGAGCATGAGGATCTCGAAAGGGAATTCTCCGGGAATTCTCGGTAAGAGAGACCCGAAAATATTCGGACTTCTATCCACAGAGCATGGAGATCTCGAAAGGGAATACTCCGGGAATCCTCGGTATGAGAAACCCGAAAATCTTCGGACTTCTATCCACAGAGCATGGACATCTCGAGAGGGAATACTCCGGGAATCCTCGGTATGAGAGACCCGAAAATCTTCGGACTGCTATCAACAGAGCATGGAGATCTCGAAAGGGGATACTCCGGGGATCCTCGGTTTGAGAGACCCGGAAATCTCCGGATTTTCTATCCACAGCATACAGCTCTCACGGGAATGAACCCCGGGAATCCGCGGAACTAGAGATCCGAAAATTATCGGAATTCTATTCACAGCATAGAGTTCTCACGAGAATGAACTCCGGGAATCCTCGGGACTAGAGACCCGAAAATTATCGGAATTGTATCTATTATCTATAGCATAAAGCTCTCACGAGAATGAACTCCGGGAATCCTCGAAACTAGAGACCCGAAAATTATCGGATTTCTGTCCACAGCATTGAGTTCATACTCACGAGGAACAGCTTCGGGAATCCTCGAGACTAGAGACCCGAAAATTATCGGAATCGTATCTACAGCATAGAGCCCTCACGAGAACGAATTCCGGGAATCCTCGGGACTGGGAACCCGAAAATTATCAGAATTGAATCTACAGAATAGAGCCCTCACGAGAATGAGCTCCGGGAATCCTCGGGACTAGGGAGCCGAAAATTATCGGAACTTGTATCTACAGCATAGAGCCTTCACGAGAATGAGCTCCGGGAATCCTCGGAACTAGAGACCCGAAAGTTATCGGAATTGTATCTACAGCATAGAGCTCTCACGAGAATGAGCTCCGGGAATCCTCGGGACAAGGGACCCGAAAATTATCGGAATCGTATCTATAGCATAGAGCTCTCACGAGAATGAACTCCGGGAATCCTCGGAACTAGAGACCCGAAAATTATCGGAATTGTATATACAGCATAGAGCTCTCACGAGAATGAGCTCCGGGAATCCTCGGGACTAGGGAGCCGAAAATTATCGGAATTGTATCTACAGCATAGAGCCTTCACGAGAATGAGCTCCGGGAATCCTCGGAACTAGAGACCCGGAAGTTATCGGAGTTGTATCTACAGCATAGAGCCCTCACGAGAATGAGCTCCGGGAATCCTCGGAACTAGAGACCCGGAAATTATCGGAATTGTATCTTCAGCATAGAGTTCATACTCAAGAGGATGAGCTCCGGGAATCCTCGGAACTAAAAACCCGAAAATTATCGGAATTGTATCTACAGCATAGAGCCCTCACGAGAATGCTCCGTGTATGGAAGTTCCCTGATTTCAGAATTTGAGCTCAATTCGCGGCCCCATGCTCTGTGTATGGAAGTTCCCTGATTTCAGAATTTGAGCTCAACTCGCGGCCCCACGCTCTGTGTATGGAAGTTCCCTCATTTCAGAATTTGAGCTCAATTCGCGGCCCCATGCTCTGTGTATGGAAGTTCCCTGATTTCTGAATTAGAGCTCCAGCGACAGCTCCATGCTCTGTGTATGGAAGTTCCCTGATTTCTGAATTCGAGCTCTAGCGACAGCTCCATGCTCTGTGTATGGAAGTTCCCTGATTTCTGAATTTGAGCTCTAGCGACAGCCCCATGCTCTGTGTATGGAAGTTCCCTGATTTCTGAATTCGAGCTCTAGCGACAGCTCCATGCTCTGTGTATGGAAGTTCCCTGATTTCTGAATTAGAGCTCTAGCGACAGCTCCATGCTCCGTGTATCTCGAGAGAGCTCTATGCTGTGGATAGAATTCCGATAATTTTCGGGTCTCTAGTCCCGAGAATTCCCGGAGCTCTTCCTGGTAAGAATGAACTCTATGCTGTGGAAAGAAATCCGGTAATTTTCGGGCCCCTAGTCCCGAGGATTCCCGGAGCTTATTCTCGTGAGAGCTCCATGCTATAGATACAATTCCGATAATTTTCGGGCCCCTAGTCCCGAGGATTCCCGGAGCTCATTCTCGTGAGAGCTCTATGCTATGGATGCAATTCCGACAATTTTCGGGTCTCTGGTCCCGAGGATTCCCGGAGCTGTTCCTCGTGAGTATGAACTCAATGCTGTGGATAGAATTCCGATAATTTTCGGGTCTCTAGTCCCGAGAATTACCGGAGCTGTTCCTCGTGAGTATGAACTCAATGCTGTGGATAGAATTCCGATAATTTTCGGGTCTCTAGTCCCGAGAATTACCGGAGCTGTTCCTCGTGCTATGCCATAATTCGCGCTTATTTTTACGCTTTCGTGCCGAATCCAGAGGCATGTGGAAATCAGCTGTAGGAATCGAATGATAGATCCGCCTCGCGAACGATTGCACCTGGAGACTTTGCCGTGAATTTACAACCCAGTGATGCGATTCAGATAATCCGAAACTCCGCGATTCCTGCATTATAATTATAAGGCTCCAAAAGCGGACAAGATTTCGATGCTCGAAGGACGAAGTACATCGCATTGGTCAGCAAAGCCTGCGACAAAGACATTTTCACGTCAAAATGCTAAATTGTGCATCGCATAAGGAACTTTCCGTATGAGGAACCCTGACCATAGGGAACTTCCCACCTAAGACACCCCACCCATAGGGAACTTCCCGTGTGAAGAACCCCATCCATAGGGAACTTTCCTTATAAGGAAGGCGGCGTTTCTTGAGTTTCTCCGAATCGCCGATGTACCAATCGTTAACAAAAAAAAACGGTACGATTCAATCAATTCTTCGATGTGATATCCTTAAACACCAGGTCAAACGGGAACGTTGTTTCTATGTTCATCGCTCTCCGGAAGAATATTCATGACATTACTACCTGTTCCCATTTCGAACCAGCAGAGCCCCGCGAAATGCAATGAACGCACTGCTCTTACACTGATCGTTGTATATTATGCATACTATCTACCTTCTGTAGCCACTCCTTTCAATAAAGAAAGCCTATCAATCAAGTCTTTTCGCGGCCTTGATTCGGTGCGCGTTGAGCTCCGACTCAGCAGCCCCGTCGAGTTTTTTTCGAGCCGCCCTCTCAGAGTTTGAATTTATTTCAATGATAACACAGCACCAGTAGCGTAGTAAGGGGGGGCGGGGGGGCGGACCGCTTCCTACGGAGCATTTAGGGGCGGCATTTCGGGGTTTTGCATCCAAGAAACGGAGTGTTTTCGAGGAAAAAATATCTGGCGGGGGGCGGCATTTTCGTCGAGCACGGTGAAAAAACGGGAAATATCGAATCCCCGCCCCGAGCGGCACTCCGGCTCGCTACGCCACTGCACAGCACACCTCATTCCACGCATAGTTCATTTGAGAAAAAGCATCGTGACGCGAGTCGAGTTCTGCTCCAGGAAGATTTGATCTCGCCGCCAGGAGACTCCTCATCACAGACAAGAAAGAGTTTTGATTAGGAGAAGGCATGAAAATGTATCTTTCTCCGATGATTCTCTCCCATGGTCGGGACTTGGGATAGAAATCTTTCAGCAGGATGTGCTTC